AGTCTGATCCCCAGAAAGCAGCAGGCCTGAGTCACAAGGCTCCAGTGGGGCCTGGCCCCCTCCCTCCACACCACAGGGTATGGCTCTTTTTTTAAAAAACTAAACTAAGAAAAGGCAAAATCTCTCCTCTTTCCTATAGGAAACTTAACTTTTTAATTACTTTATTTTTGGGTGACCACAAGGGGTGCCAGACTGAATGCACACCAGCCAGATGCAAGGCAAGCACCAGCAGCCCCTCTCTGCAAGACACTTTAAATAGAAGGAGAAGGTCGAAGTTTGGATTAAAATATTTGGGGGAAGAGATAGAACAGGGGTTAAGGTGCTTGTTCGGCATGTGGCCCTCTCTGGTTCGATGCCTGCACTGCACGCCACCCCTGCCCAGAACTGCCATAGAGCTACGCCCAAGCACAGAGCCAGGAGCAGCTCAAGCACCGCTGGGTGTGCCCCTCCCCTCAGCCAAAAAATAATAAAACATGCTGGCATAAAGTATGACTTGGTAGCAAAAATGAAGCACAAAGGGAATTTTCTGGTGGTTTGTTGCCAAGAAAAGTGAACGCTCTCCTTTATAAGATAGTCATTCTTGGCAGGAATCTTTTGAGAAAAAACAAAGGACCATGTGCAAAACATTCTGAATTCTTTGAAGAGATGTGTACTCTCTGTAGTAATCTGAAGGTGTGATATGCTGTAACTCACACATTCTAACCAAAAGCAACCTGGGACCTGGAAGCACTTTTCATTTCTTTGCTGGTTGTAGACATCCCACAGTATTAGAAAGCCACCATACTTGCACGCGGTATTTCTCTGTTTAAATACCAAAATGTTCAGGGTACTGGTATTTTTTCTAAAGGTCATACCAAGTTGAATGGCTAACAGTCCTGGAGAGCTGAAAGTCAACATCTAACGGAAAACCCTTTCCCATCCAACTTACAAACACAAACTCACCTTTTATTTGTCACTACAGCTCAACTGAGGGCTGTAGCAAAGCAAACCCTTAAAGAGAGTTTCTTCTCTCGTTTTAACAGTCCTACAATGCTGCACAGAAAGTACATAGACTATTCAGGACAACATTTGGGCCTCAATTATTAAAAATCACACAGTAATGGGTCTAATACTGATTTCACATATAATATTCAAAGCACTACACAGAAAACTGCTTGTTAATGGAACACATCCTGTTTGAGTACACGGCAATCTGAATTGTATGGCCATGTAGTTTTACTTAGCTTGGGGTCACACCTGGGAATGTTCACGGATTACTCCTGTCTTTGCACTCAGGAACTACTCCTGGTGGTGTTCCAGGTACCATTTGGGATGCTGGGATACAACATGGGTTGGCTACATGGAAGGAAAAAGCCATTATCTGCTGTACAAACGCCCGGCCCTAGGGTCCCATATATTTATTATATACATATCTGTTAAGTATAATTACTGGTTTCATTTATTTATTTTTTGGTCACACCCGGCGACGCACAGGGGTTACTCCTGGTTCATGCACTCAGGAATTACTCCTGGTGGTGCTCGGGGGACCATATGGGATGCTGGGAATCGAACCCGGGTTGGGCTGTGTGCAAGGCAAACGTCCTACCCACCGTGATATCACTCCAGCCCCTACTTACTAGTTTAAAAACTGTATTTTACTGTATAATTATTGTGCCCTGTTGTCAAGTAACACTACACAATTTCTTTTATAAAAGAGCTTCATATAATGGTTTCATCAGTCTTTTTTGCAAAACGAAAAACAAACAGAAAAAACCCCAAACAGAATAACAACCGGAAAGTCCATCTGGCATAGAATATGTAATAAAATGCAGTATCTATTATAAATCAGGCAAAGGGAGGAGGAGAGATAGTACAGAGGGAAGACTGCTTGCCTTGTAAGTGGTCAACCCAAGTTTGATCCCTGCCACCATGTATGGTCCCCCTGAGCACCACAAGGACTGACCCTGGAGCACAGAACCATGAGAAAGCCTTGAGCACTACTAGGTATACCCACACCCACCACCAAATCTGCCAAAAGAGAAGTTTTTAAAATACTGACATAAAGAGCCGTTAGTGTTTTCTCTCCTGGCTACACTGTATACCCTTCTTCAAGGACTGCTAAGAAAGAACCAATTTATTCTAGCCCAAGTATCAGTGAAAGCCTGCTTTCGGGCGACAACTTGGATGGGCGGACTGGTTAGGCAGGGACAGCAAGGTCAAAATGAAGAGATTTTCTCTCTACTGAATGACACCGCTGAAAAGTATTTTCTGATCACCTACGCCTCAAATTCCACATTCTGAAAGCTGTTTGGGAGAGGACTTGACAAGGTAAAAACACTGCGGAATGGGCGGAGGCAAGAGCCTGAATATGAAAGAATCTAGAGAGATGTAAAGAAATACCGAACACACAGTGAGGTAGCAGCACTGACTAGGCGTGGTTTGTAAGAAAAGGTTCAGACCCTCCACCGCAGGCAAGCTCCAAGACAAATGAAAGAGACAAGTCAAACTGTGGTTCTCAAAACCACCTCTTGAAAGCAAGACGCTGCTCTAAAGCCCAGACCATCATTTAGGGCCGAGACAGGACAGTTTGCTGGAAGAGCCGGGTCGCCCCACGCTCTAGGAGGGAGGAACAGACTCAGCCTGCCGGCCTCACGGAGATTCCAACTGCCCTTTGGGCTTCTTTGGTGATAACCTGCACGTCGCTTTAATTTCCTTCTGTGCAAGAATTTCTCAGTCTTTTTCAGTAACGAGGGATGTATTCACCTTAAATCTGAAAAAGCCTGAAGGGACTGGGGAAATGTCTAGTCCATGTGTTCTGCCTGCAGGAGCCCCACCTGGTCCCACGGGCATCCGTAGGGAGCGTGAAAATGTGCCCACCAATGTTCAATGCCTCTTCTATCACTTCACTTGTGAAGAACTAAAAAATCATTCTCGATTCCTATTATAACACAGTCAAGCAATAAAGGAAGAGAGCAACAAAAAACTAAACTAGGCAAGACAGCGAGTCCTGGTTCTTCTAATTTAGCCCTTTTTCCACCTAAAACTTCTTTAAGTGTGCTAGCTACAGTACCTAATGGGTGGTCAAAATATACAAATACTTATGGTAAGATTATGTTATCAATTACCATTATTAAAGATTATATAAACTCTGAATTTTATTTCTTTTTTTCTCATTATCAGACCTAGGAAACGTCTCATCCCACTTTACAGACAAAAAACAAATCTTGAGAAGTTTATTTTCTTAAAGTGAACGTTTTATTAAGTGGCTCAGAATATCAAACCAGATCTGCTTCTAGAAGTCACGTTTTAAAAACTGCTTATTAGGGGTTGTATTTTGAAATTGTCCTCCAAATTTCATTTCATGATGTTGTAAGTTGTAACAATATATGGAAAACAAAGTTAAAACTCTGAAAGATCTGTGCTGATATTACAGTTTTGTTAATGATGACTAGCTCCACTAAGTATTACTCAGGAATTATATTTACGTTTCTGGGTGTCCTTTTATTGTCATCTGTAAAGAACAGTAGCTATTTTGCAAATGTGCTAAAGAGTAACTTAACTTACATATAAAGCAGAAGCATGCTGAAAGTACACGGTGACACAGTGCACATGCCCAGGCAGACAGAGCACGAGGGAGCAGAGAGGAGAGACAGATGTACAAAAGGTGAGGCGCTCAACTGCAGAATAGTCAAGAGTTGTTGTGACCGACTTTAGCGTTTACGCTGAGAATCTTGGTCTCTTTCTCAAATCTCTCAGGACGATCCAACGTGCCAGCAACTCACTCCATGCCCAACTGGGAAAGCAAGCTAGAAGCACCAACAATAACCCCTGCTGGAGGGTCGGCTGAGAGGGGAGCCGGCAGCCCAAAGCACACAGTGTGTGGAGTGCTGGGTCTTACATCAAAGGGCTCAAATGTTCTCAGGCTTCTGGCTGAAGAGAGTAGGAAGCTGGCTCTCTGACTTCCCACTAGTAATTAGGACAGTTTTTGTCTCGCTCCAAGGTTAAAAAAAAGTTCTTTTCTATCTCAATCAGGAACTACCCAGCGTGGCTTGGACCCTACACACAGGAGGGTGGGCTCAGACAGGAATCTCACACAGCACTGTCTTAAGAATGGTCATTCAGAACAGAAGCACAAGCTCCTTGAGTTCACTGCTTGGATGGTGCCATGAAACTGGGCAAGGACAGACCTATTTGAGAGTCAATATCTAAACCACGAGCATTTACAGAAGCCAAAGTGTCAGCAAAGATTTGCATGTAGAAATAGCACGTGCGCCTGAGTTAAAAGGACCTTTTAGCTATGAAACAGACCCTGACTGAGACCTTTAAAAAGACAATGCAATTATTTCAACTCTTCCAAACAGAATCCTTAACATATTTTGAATAGCAAGCAGCATCATTTCAAAAGGTAAATATTGTTTAGAATAAATTAAGCTATAGGCTAAGAGAGCAATGGGCATTATGACTGCTCTTCAGAGAGCTACAAGATTCATGACTTCATGTTTAAGAAAAATGTCACAGATGCACAAAGAAGCTTTCAGGACTCCGTGCATCTGCGAAAAAGAAGTTTTCTAAGACTATCAGGATATTACAATTGCCAAGTTAAATTACTGATTGTTTGACTGCTACTTCTTTTATCCTCCAGTCTAGAATGTTTGTGAGTCCAAGATCTAGAAAAATCAACCACATGCTAGAACTAAGGGGGAAACAATTTACATTTTCAGATGCTTCAAGTCTCAGCAGCATTCTTAGAAAGTAACCATCTTCAGAGAGTAAGAAAATCGGTAAATTTTTACATCCACCTCCTTGGTGCTGCTGCCAGCATTAACTCACCCTGACCTCCAAGGGCATCACCATGACCTCTGCTCACAGGCCACTCCAATACCAAGCGCATAATACATCACTTCGCAATTGACGAAAGAAATCAGAAACTACCTTGGCAAGGACAGTACATTTAGAACTAGCAGCTAATTTCTGTGACGAGCTCAGATGAGAACGAATCCAGATAAGAATGATGTACGTACCTGTACCACAGGATCTTTTGGTTGGTGTGATTAACGAGACATGAGCTGCGTCTGTGCATGGCCCACCTAGAAATATAAAGGCAGGCACATCAGTCAGGACGTAGCTTCCACATGCCCACAGTTGCTAGCCTAGAGAAACAGAACCCTGGAAAGGATGGCATCAGCCTGCGAATATGCAAAGGGATGGCAGCAGGAAAGATGACGGAGATGGCAGGTGTTAAGTCTGAGGCCTAATTTTAGTTCTTCAATTCAGTCTATAGGTCCATATTTCTACAATGCATCGTGCCTCTCATAAAAACGAAACAAAACAAAAAAACAACCAACCAAACGGAATCTCACCTAATTTTAAAGAATAAAATTGTAAACAGAATTCCAATCTAGGTAAGAGGAAAGTTTTTTCTCCACAGAGCAAAAAGCAGGATGACCCTCTTAGGTTGACCTCCGTGGTCACACCATCTGGAATGCTTTGGGTCACCATAACTTTCAAAACTAGCTTTACCTAAAAGTAAGATATTCCTAAGAAACAAAAAAACTACTTGCCAGAAAAAGAAAAAAATCATTTTAATATGTTAAAAAAAAAACGCTGCTGATCAAGAAATATCTAGTTTAATTACAGGAGCCTTAATGACACAAACGTAACTTTCCTGGACTCTTTTGGGTCCAGAGACCTAATACATAATTCAAAAGTTCACACAAGCGGCACAGTCAGTTAATGATGAAGACTTGAAAAAGACTATTACTTCATTCTTACAATCAGGATCACCAAACAAAGTCTTCTGTTATTATTCATGTAACACCCTTAATACTATCTACCTGCAGACCCCTACCTTAGTTACGAAGTATTATACAAACGTGAGAACAAATCGTTCTTGACAGGCCCTGGTAGGGGTTTATGCTCATTATAAAGGAACAGAATACACAGATAAATATTACATAAATATTTGAAAAGGTTCGCCAGGTGACTACAATTAATGACGGGGAAATATAGTTACTTAAGATAGCTGTGTGTCACCTACGATGAGACAAATGACATCAACATTACTCACAAAAAGCAAAGTTGAAAGAGTTCTGATACCTGTTCCTAAAATTTATATCCTAGACTCTTGATTTAGGGACATAAAGATCACATCTAACAAGTTCATTTCGATCTTCTCTTTCCCTTGACAAAGCCATAATGGTAACACATGTTACTGGGTTGTAAGAAGACACAAAGGAAATAAGAGAAAAAACCAGGTAGGTACATTCATTGGTAATGCCACAGGTGACTAAGCAAACACCTACTATGTGCCACCCTAGGTTAGAAAGGGAGTTGATTACCTTGTTTGGGAAATCATTCGCATATAAAATAAAGTATAATGACAGCAATGAAGAGCTGAATGAAAATGACTGGGTGCCAAAGATTATACACAAGCAATAAGTGCTAAATGCAATCAGGAAGAAGCATATTCCGTACTGACCATTACCACCGGGATGCTTCCTAAGACTTGGAGAACGACGTAAGGTTACTAAGTCGAAAGTTTAGAGGCAGATCAGTAGAGCAAGGCATTTTAAGTGAAATTTGTTTTTTTTGTGTGTGTGCGTGTATGTGCGTGTGTGTTTCCAAATGCCACATTCACCAGCAAAAGTATAATATATAAAAATTTCAGAACAGGAGCAGCAGTGATAGTACAGCAGGGAGGGCGTTTTCTTCGCATGCAACTGACCGGGGTTTGGTCCCCAGCATCAGATATGGTCTCCTGAGCACTGCCAGGATTAATTCCTTAGTGCAGAGCCAGGGGTAACTCCTATGCATTTCAGGGTGTAACCCAAAAAGTAAAATATAAATAAATAAATAAATAAAATCAGAATGGACAAGTATGACACGAGCCACAAAGAAAGTTTAACAGATCCCACATCCTCAAGAACTCTTGGGACGTTCTCTTCTACAGGTCTATAGAAAAACTGTAGCTTTTACTTCAGTGAAAGGTTCCCCTGTTGGTGTTGCGTAAAAGCAGAATTCTTGTATCTGGAAAAATACAGGTTTTTTAATAAAAGACTCAGCTTAAACACTGCAACTATTCCCCTCTTGCTGAAAGGTCCTGGATAATGATTCTGAAGTTAACAAAAATTGCCCAAAGTCACAGTGTTGATCAATTAGACTAGACAAAAAGATTTCACAGGGCCAGACAGGGAATACGGGGCAGCTAAGGCACATGCCACGGGTGCATGGGATCCAGTTTAACCCCCAGAATCAGGGCATGGGGGCAGCTGAGGCGCATGCCACGGGTGCATGGGATCCAGCTCAACCCCCAGAATCAGGGAGCAAACTCAAGGCGTTGCATAGGCTAAAAGTGGCCTTTTGCTACTAAGCCCACATCTCCAGTCCCAAGAAGGGAATACATCTTAAAAAACCTTTATTTTTTTCTACTGAGGTAAAATTAAAGAGAACAAACATCAGAATGAAGCACACGAATATTAAATATACCTCCTGAAGGGGTTTAGCATAATTGGGTAGTAACAGATAAAAATGTCAGAACAGTCCCAAAATTTGGAAAGTTTAAGGGAGCATCTTAGAAATCCAGGGTCCCAGATTCTAACTCTGAAAATTTTGATGCAATAGTTGAAGATTAGTGTACATTAGCTGAGCACAATGTAAATATTAGCAGTACAGTTAGTTCAAATCTCTGATGAACATTCTTTTACCGCCCTGCTCAGTACCTGGTCAATGAGTCAGTGACGGTGCAACTACCATAATGCTGTGTTTTTTAATAACATAAAATAATCCACCCAATACAACTATAAGAAAAGGGAGAAATCAGTCAAATCAAAGCCCTCAAAGAAATTTGGCTGGAACTCATGAATTAGCACTTCTATGTTTACAAATGCAATTTTTACTTCAACTGTGATTTGAGAATTTCACTCTTTAAAAAAATTTCTAACAAATCATTTTCTGTAGCTTTTGGAAAATGCACAAATAACTTTAAGGCTACCTTGCATATCTCAACATGCATCATCACAAAAGTGTTCTCCAGAGAGCTTGTTAAACTAACAACCCAATCCAATGTATTCACTGCATTACCGTAAAGTATAAAAAGAACCGCAGTGGCGCCAAAACAAATTGCCAGCAAGAATACCTGGCTGTGATAATATATGCCAGCTTTGGTAATTGGACAATATGATAAACAGAGAGCAAGGACTTATATTTGGTCTAGTCGCCCTATGAAACAGGTTAAATTCCAGGACGGCTATGTGTGACCACTGTACATTCCATACTAATGTACATTCCATACTAATGCCAGTAAATAAGATTCCTATGTCCTCAAAAGGAGTAGCTGCAGATTATCCACCCTTATATAATTGACTCCTCATCAACGCTGCTAAAGTGAACATAGAAAATAAAGGACCACTCAAAAGGGAAACATTTTAGATTTGTTCCACACATTAATAAAAATATAAGAGGAGTCCTATGTGTTTATAGTAACAAACAGTAATTTTGAGAATTCATGATAATGGCTGAAGTCAGGGCATCTACTCTATCAAGGAGTGGAATTATTCTTTTTCTAGGAGCTCTACTGCCCAAGAAGGGGGGGGGGGGGTCTTTCTTTTTTGTTCCAAGCAGGAAGATGGGAAGAGCTAATTGAACAACCTAAAGAATCCTTTCTGACAAAGCTCCTTAGAGCAGTGTAAAGGGGGTAAGAGGGTTCAGTAGATCAAAGTTGGGAAAAGGAATTTCTGAGCAGACAATTCACATCACTACAGTTAGTCTCTATCTGTGGAAACTGAGCCTAGAACATTTTTTTTTTTTTTTTTTTTTTATTTGGAGGATTTTTTTTTTTATTTATTTATTGAATCACTGTGGGAAAGGTTACAAAGCTTTCAGGTTTATGTCTCAGTCATGCAAATATCAAACACATTTCCCTTTACCAATACTTATTTTTTCCCATGAAGAACCCCAATAAAACCCCACCCCCCACCCCTCCCCGTCCCTGTGAGGCAGATGAATTCTAGTTAACACTCTATCCGCTTTGATTAGATTGTTTCAATAAAAGATTCACCACTATTATTTAGAGTTTACCCCCCCCCCAAATCAGACATGCTGAAAAAGCATTGTGAAGTGATTTGCTTTCTCCAGCTGGGTTCAAGAATTAAATGTTGGTTTTGGATTTCTGCTATTTTACTGATTGACCCTGGAAGTATTTCTACTGAAAGTCAGATAGTTAAGAAATTGGTTTCTGTGTTCTGGAGTCGTGGCCGTGCTGGAGAGCCGCTCGTGGGGGGCAACTGGTGGCCTCGGTAGGGCGTGAAGGGCGGAGCGAAACGCCCCCCTTCCCATGAGGTTTTAGTCGCCCCCACACTCCCGGCTCATACCTGCTGTCCACAAGGCTCCCATGTGGCCGCCATCTTTCTTTCCAGAGAGGAGAGGGCGAATGGGGCAACACCCTTTCCCCTCCGGCAGACTTGATGGGCTGGATCAACGCATAGTCCATTCACTTTTCTGCTCCAAGCTGCTGGGTTCTGCATTAAGTCCTTGTGCTTCTGGGGCCATGGCCGTGCTGGAGAGCCGCTCGTGGGGGGCAACTGGTGACCTCGGTAGGGCGTGAAGGATGGACCGGAACGCCCCCCGACCCATGAGGTTTTAGTCGCCCCCACTCCCCCGGCTCATACCTGCTGTCCACAAGGCTCCCATGTGGCCGCCATCTTTCTTTCCAGAGAGGAGAGGGCGAATGGGGCAACACCCTTTCCCCTCCGGCAGACTTGATGGCCTGGATCAATGCATAGTCCGTTCACTTTTCTGCTCCAAGCTGCTGGGTTCTGCATTAAGTCCTTGTGCTTCTGGGGCCGTGGCTGTGCTGGAGAGCCGCTCGTGGGGGGCAACTGGTGACCTCGGTAGGGCGTGAAGGACGGACCGGAATGCCCCCCTTCCCATGAAGTTTTAGTCGCCCCCACACCCCCGGCTCATACCTGCTGTCCACAAGGCTCCCATGTGGCCGCCATCTTTCTTTCCAGAGGGAGGAGGGCGGAAGGGAGCAACACCCTTTCCCCTCTGGGCAGAAATGATTGCCTGGATTAACGCATAGTCCTTTCAC